AAATAAAAAAAAATTTTTATGTCATTGAATTATGTTATTATATTATAAAATAAAATTCAAAATCAAGTAAAACTTAAATAAATCGTATTATTATATTATTATAGCGATAATGAATAAAAAATATATTTTATACTTTATTTATGATACTCACTATAATTTGATATTTATAAATAAAATGTTTCTAATTTCTGTATTATTAATCCTTACTAGTTTAATTATTTGATTACACCTACATCTGATTTATAATTGTTTTATAAATTATCGTCAATTTTATAAAGAAGCGATGAGAAAATTAAATATCTTATTTTACAAAATTATATTAGAAGACGATAAAGTATACAATCATACAATACGATGTGTAAAACCGTATAATTGAAAACATATATTTGCATTACATTGTATAGTTTGTTGTTGGAAATCTAGATAAGCCAGATCATTATCAAGAGTCTACTGAAATCATTGCAAGTTTAGAAAATTTGAACTCAGAAATACGAGAGATTTGGGATGTCTTAAATAAACGTCAAGACAGTAACATACCTGCAACACCGACACTTATGTACTCTTATTTGCGTTGGTTACGGTTTCATCATCTTACCACGCAGCCTAACAGCATGCAAGGTAAAAAAAACAATGTAATTTATATAAAAATTAAGGAATATAGTATTATATTATTCAATGTAGAATATCTTCAAAATTAATTAATATTATATTCCTAGATACATATTGTGCATGCGTGCATGCATGCGTGCGTATCATTAAATGTATAGTTTAAAGTAGTATTAAAATATAATGTATTCCGTTTTAGGTGTCACGTGACCTAATTTAAATTTTTTTTACAAATTTTTTTAGAAAATGCAAAATACAAAAAGATTGTTTTAATTGTAACATAATTTATTTTTATTTATAAAAAAATTGCGAATATGAGCAACTTCTATTTTTTTTAGGTGCCTTTGGTACGCCCAATATACAATCTAACATCCTATCTCAATTAACTGCTGCACAACCTCCTATTACCACAACTCAAAATATTATCGCTCAGTACGGCCCTAACAGCGGCTTTAGCACCAGCGTTGGTAGCGTCGAGAGGAATGCTTCAAATCTGATGGAAAGGACCAGAAATCTCAGGGATTGGCTACGCCAAGCTCGCATTGAAAATACTGACTTGATTAGTCCTGGTCAGGCGACTCTTTAAATGTCTACATCTTAAAAATATTCTTTTATTTTGCAAAGTTAATCCGTATTTTTAAGTAATTTTCAAAAGGATAATTAATTAATAATACATATACTGTCATTACTTAATTAATAATACTTGAATACTTGAATATTTATATAGTATAATTTTTTAACTGTACAATTTATTTATTCAGTTATTTATTTTACATGAATTATGATTAAGGATTAAGTTGAAAGTGATTTTGTAAACTTTTGTTTATAATTGAAAATAATTTTATTTGAAACATAAGATCTTTGTATGAAACTTAAATCTGCGCTCGCTTGTCGCTCCCTTGTTTCTCTCTTTGCTAAATCGTCAAAACTATAATCAAGAGTATATTATTGCAATAAATAATACATATACGGTGAGAAAAAATTTAGATGTGATAATACATATAGTGTCCAATAGCCATTTACAGCAACATTTAATAATTCAAGTTTAAACTTCAGGAGATTTGATTGATCGTTCTTAGTAAAAATTGGACAACAATTCTATTCACTTTAATTAACAATTTTCTAAATCTTAATCGACAACATAGCAGGTTTTAAATAATTATTTTACATAATTACATTTTATCATCAGAGCGGGGACTAGGATATAACGAACGAGGCATTTGCTTCATGTAAATTATTTAAAAGAAGCGCAAAAATAGCAATATAAATTTCTATATATTTTAACTTATTCACTATACTAACATACAGTAACTATGTGAATCTGCCATTGAGTGTTAGCTATGTATATTAAGTAAAAATGAAATATATGTAAAGATAAAATTTTGATAAACTAATTGACAATTTTGCGACATCAAAACAAGAAAAGTATTACTTTAAATGAAAAATACATTTTCTATACATATTAGATGTAGTAAAAAGAAATCCATTATTTTTCCAATGGATGGCTTTAGTAATCTGTATCACGCGTACACGAGATACAGATTACTAAAGCCATCTATTGGAAAAATAATGGATTTCTTTTTACTACACCTAATATTTACGAGAATTAAAATATTATCTTAGAACCACAAAATTTTTTTGAAATAAACTCAAACCAAAAATAGATGTTTCTTATAGATTTTGTGGTCGAGTGGCGACGACGGCGGTGCGCAAGGAAGGGGAAAGAGCGCTTTGTCGTCGCTCGAATGTGGGCCATCCTATGAATTCGCGCGGCGCGGCTTAAGTTAGAAAATTAGTAGATTAGTTTTTTGTCATTTTTACGTGCAGATATTTTTAAGTTTAAAAAGAATATTTTTTAATACTTTACAACATTTTGAGACTCCAGCTATAATATTAGGACTTACAGAGCAGTGTTTGGTATCAGATGTAATTTTTGAGCCAATTTCAGAGATAACGCTTACGACTATTTCTTCCACTAGTGTCACTCAAAATTCAACGGTTGCAATTACACTGATTGCATGTGTAACGTGCAATAAAAATTTTTTCTATTCTTTCTACTTCTTTAACTTATCAAAATAAATTTAAATCAGTTCTACAATCGCATTTTAATGTCACATTTATTTTTATTCTTTCTCAAATTTGTTTTCAACTTTTACATATTTTCATCATTTTTCTCTAAAAATTATCTAAAAAACATGATAGAGCAAAAAAGCCAGCTTATAAATTTGAATTCAATGATTCGAAATTTATAATAAGAAAACCAACTCTAATTTATTTTTAAAAAATTTTTTTGTGGTCCTGTGATTATGTATTTGTACATATGCATATATACGTAATCTGTACTATACGTATATATCTGTACATGTGATTATGTTCCTATTAAATTAATATGAATATTAAATTAGATAGTATTAAATATCATTGATTAATATTAGTCTTTATTAAATTTTGCCTTTTACCTTGGACACCAAAATGTCTAGTCCCGGCTCTGTTTATCATACACATATAGAGATCGAAACTGTATACATATACTGTATACATGTACGTAATACGCGCAAAAATATATAATATGGAAATGTTTACGTGGTATACCAATTTAAATAAAATACTACGCCTGACAAGATTTTTATTTTTTATTTCTCTTTTTATTTTTTTTAAAAAGAAAATATTACAAAATTATTATACAAACATTATTATACAAAAAATTAAAAACAATTAAACAATCATATCACAAAGTTTAGTTTTCATTTTCGTCTTCCATTTGTTTTGAATGTTTTACACTTAATCACTTGTATATTTAGTAGATCTATGAATAATAATAAACATTTTGACGCTTTTGATTATTTTTATATTACATTGAAAGATTTGTAAATTAATAATACAGGGTTGATGCATGTATGCATATTTATGAATATCTGATAAGTAGTCTCTCTTGTAAATAAATATTTCAAGATTTTGACGCTATTAGTGCGATACAATATTATAATGATGATTTTTCAATATAATATATAACCATGTTGTATATAAAATATAATCCTTATATCATTGTATGTATGTATGTATTAGCATAACATTCTTAACTGCGTTCAACAAAAATGTATGGTATATATCGTAATGACTTGGAAGTGATATTCTAATTATTGATTATAATTTTATGAAACTTGAATCAAAAACGTAAATACGTAAATAATATTTCAATAATATTTTTGTAATACTTTATAGAACACTTTACAAATTTTTATAGTTTGTTATTTCTAAATTATTTCTAAATTAAATCAAATTTTTAATGTTTATGTTACATAGAGTGCAAAAAAAGAAATTTTCTAAGCATTGTTATTCTTCGCAAAATATTTTTAGCAAGATCGCGCATAATCTTATCAAAATATCTCTACTTAATCAGCCAAATGCCAAAACTTTCTCTTGATTAGTAAATAACAGATATTGTATCTATAGGTATTGTATCTATAGGACGTGTAAATTATATATTGAATAAGTTGAATATATGCCAAATGTTCTTGGTCGATTAAATTTTCAATGACGACCATTCTAATATATTGACTATAATCAATTTTTAGAGAAAGGCTATAACATGTAAACATATAGCGTTTATAAATTGTGTTACAATATCGTGATCTCATTAGATATATGAGGTAAATTAATTAACAATTTACTTCAAGCATACTTCGGAATGTAAGTTTAATGTCTAGTAGATTAAATAATTATACTTTATATAATTTCTATATTAACTTGAAATTATAAAACTTGAAACTATAAAACTATAATATAGATATAACTAGAATATTATCTTATTTAAATTGTATGTATTTATAATTAATTATAAATACAACTCCCTCTCTCTTAGAAAAATAATATTTTAAGTCGCTAAAAACGTTTTTCGAATTTGAGATAAATTATGAGATGAATAAATTATAATAAATTATGAATATGTGTATAAGAAATGTATGTGTATATTTCAAATGCAAGATATCATATGGAGTAAAACATAAAGAACTTTTACAATTTACTGTTATGTTATACATTAATAAAAATAGACATTAATAGTAACTTAATGAGAATTTTTAATATTAATACACGAAAAAAATACGAGCAATACATAGTAGACAATCTTTATAAAGTATACAATTATATTTATATATGTATACATACTATTTTATTCAATTTTTATATTTCGGTTGTTATTGTTATATAAAGTTAAGTTTATTAAAATTGATATAATCAACATTGTGCGTATGTCAGTAATCTATTAATACAGATTAATTATATAATTACACATAACACTCAGTAGAGAAATTATAATATATTAATCCATATTAATAATAAAAGAGAGAAAGAAAAAATGGTTTTAAATTCATATATTTTATTGTTTTCATAAGTTAAAGATTAATTATAATTATGACGACGAAAATAAATGACAATCGATATGATTTTCTTCACATTCGTCGCTGTTTGCTTCAAAATCCTTTCTAGATGGGAACCACGCAATCATTCGATGCATATAATTCTGCAATTTATTATTAAGAGATGTTTGCACTGCTTTTATGATCGGAGATGATTTGCATAGTAATAATCGAATGCAAGCAGAATCAGAGCCAGTCATTCTCGCTATCAACTGATTTGGTAAATTCGGATTCTTTGCTTGCTCAACTAAATTTCGTACCTATAAACATAATTTAAAAAGTTTGTGCTTTATGGATATATTTTAATTGTAAATGTATTTCAATTGCGCGTATATGTAATTGAAATAAAAAAGTTCGAATATTAATATTTTTCCGTATAACGAATCAAACTAACCAAGATTCCTTATAAATCAAAGAATTGGAAAAGATACGGGTAGTAATAGTCAAGCGCAGAAGACGTCGCGCAAATAATAAAAAACTTTAAGATTACAATTAATTATCCCGAAAATAAAGACGCGCTAATCCTATAATCTTAAAGTTTTTTGATAAATTTTCATATTCTCTGTTCCGATATTTCCATCATTTCCTTATTTTCATTCATTTTTCTTTTTTCTTTTTCTTTCACTCTTTTTGAGTTTAATTCTGGCATTTAAATTCTCGAGGTAGGGGAGCTCACCATGACAGGATAATTTTTATTTACAATTTATTTATGTTAGTTGTGTTGTCTCTGAGGAGGGCTCAAAAGTGAGCCGAAACATGTAAGCGCGTTTTAGTGAATAAAGAAGTTTCACACTTCATAAATATATTATTTGCATGACGTCTTCTGCGCTTGACTTCTACTGTCCGTATTCTTTCCAGTTCTTTGGTGAATATTTTTAATTAATATTAATCTTACATAACTTTTTCATTTATTATTTAAATCAAAATTGAAATCTCTCTCTTTTATTAGGAGTGTGATTTAATTTTGAGAGTTTTACGCGCGTGCAAGAGCGGACACTAATAATATGATAATAAGGAAATGCCAATATGAGCCAGCACTAGTTATTCGTGTGTAATAATACATATATTATAATACATATATTATAAGAAATGACACTTATAGCGTTTTCTCTTAATTGCACTATCGCCCACTAGTGCAACACTCAGACAGTGTAGCGTGTTTCCTTGGCTGGTGATAGACGAACTCATTCAGTGTAACGCGTTTCCGTGACTATATAGTATAATGTAAATTTTATGCAGTGGGGTTTTGTTACACGATCTCAAAGAGACGGTGTAGAGCCAGTGTGATATTAAAAATTTGAAAATGGAAGTCAACCGGCAGCAGAATTAAACACGATAGCATGAAGTAGTATACACCATGATGTATGTATAATACATTTGTGTAGTGCAGCACTGATGCAGCACTTACACGCAACTGGTGTAGTGCGAGGTTACACCCAATGTATCCCAAGAGAAAACGCTATTAATGTCAGTGCTGTCGAAGACATTCCAATCACAGCTTATTTCTTAATGCTTTAATATTATTACTCCATGTTTAGTCGTAATAGTAAACATCATGTTTATTTTAAAGATGCAGTTTTCTAAAAAGCTTTTTCGACATGTGTTGCTTTTGTTAATCAGAAGAAAACGGTAGCTCAAAGTCATAGAATTCTGATAGAAACACTTATGATGTTGTTCCGTCAATTAAGACATATGAATATTATTTCTGTCGATTTAAAAATGATGATTTCAATATTAATGACAAAGGCTACAAAAAAGGCAAATTTGCAAGCATTATTGGACGACAATCCACTTCAGAACTTGCCAGAGAATTAGATGTTGAAATCGTTACAAAATTAGTAAACGTTTATGTGATATATTAAATTGTTTCTTAAATAAATTACTTTTTGACAAAAAAAAACCCTCAAAACTAAATTACATTCTTAATACATATATTTCATATTTATAACAACTTACATTCTTATTTTTATTTTCTAAAGTAAATTTTAACGGATCCCATTCTTCGTTGTCCATGCTTCTGGAGATGTTACTTTGCGACGATTTCAGTCCAAAAAGCGTGCTTATCTGTCAAAATAAATAATCGAAACATCTTAAATTTTATGAATATAAAAAAAATATCACACACGCACGCACGCACGCACGCACGCACTGCTATATAATAATTTATTTCTTATCATATATATATTTACCATTTGTGCAAGAAATACAACACTGTTGACTGCGATTGCTGCGATTTTTTGCGAATCAAATCCAATAAGTCGAAAGAATGCAGAAACAAAATTTGAAGGACCAAACGGTTGTTTTTCATCATTTCCATTTTCCTCGCGTTTTTCCTTGCGATCTAAACTCTTAGACACCAAGTTGGCAATGTCTTTAGCCGTCTCTAGATAGTTACTTGCATGCTGTAATCCTGCCTTTATTTTATCCAGAACATCTGATTGTGAAATTAAAAGTATACAATTCTTTTTATAGTAATTTATTTTGTAATTTATCACACACGACACACGCGCGCGCACACACACACACACATACACACACACACGAATACTAAAGCTGAGATTTACAACAAAAAATTAATTTTTCGGAAGAAAAATAAACTCACCTTCGGTATTTGTAAGTTGCACTTTGTCAAATATAGTTATCCAAAGAATGCAAAAGAGAAAACACGAAACGCTGGACATTTTGTCGAATCAAACTGTTCAAGAATACTGACAATGAGACTACTATCACAAGAATCTTTGTAAAACAGATTATAACGGGTTTTGTGTTAATTATACTTTTATTCCGTTGCGTTTCCGCGACAAGATCCCATTGGATCGCCTATGTGATTGTCACTCTTCTTGCTTCGTCAGCCAAGCGCAAGAAAACGGCATCCGTACGTTTCACAGTACGATTTAGTCGCGTTCCTATTAGAAGCCAGTAAAAAGTAGTGACTAAAGCACTAGGACATTCCAAATTTACATAGCTGTCATCATCGTATTTGAAGGTATGAAAAGTATTTATTATAAAATTGTTTAATTTGCTGTTCAAGTTAAAATTAGTGTGTATTTTTTTACTATTGGAACTAAGTATAAATATTATAACATGTTAAAAAAATTAAAGAGAGAGAGAGAGAGAGAGAGAGAGAGAGAGAGAGAGAAAGGGAGGGGGGATGAAAAAGTGAGAGAGAAAGAGAAAGAGACAAAATGAGTGCAAATTATATTTTAATATTTATATCTTAATAACCACACATTTTTGAATATTCAGCTATGTATTGCGGTTTATTAATACTTCATATATATTACATTTTGAAAATGGCATCTGGAGATCAATCATCTTTATATCTGAATGAGATTCGCAGTTTAAGTGAATTACCAATGAATAGACTAATTCACTTAAGATCTTCTCTTGCAAGCAATAATGGTAAATCATTGTAAATCTTTTTCATTAAACAATTTATTATTAAAACACAAGGTCGACAGATTTAAACGAGCATAGAAGGTAACTAATTAATTTATTCTATTATTCCATTTCTTATGAGATAGGTATACATATATACAGCACATTTTCAGACTTAATTTAGCCCTCCGTAGCACCATAAAACTCAAAAAAATTAAGTTTATTATAAATTATTAAAAATTAAGTAATATTATAAGTTAATATAATATAATAAGTTTAATATAATAGAATTGTTGAAAAATCTCATCTTACATACAAACGCCACAAATATCACATAATACTCCGCTACGGTGTTAGTAAGTAATCATGATATACGTTGAAGTCCATATTATAAAACTCGTATTGTAAACCAATTCTTCGGTCTATGACAAGAGCGGCTAATGTCAAATTATAAAATTAAGTTATGTATAATACCATCAAGTTGACGGTAATGTGGATGCATACGATGTCATAATTTAATTATGATCAGAGAGATTATAAACAAAAAAAATTAGAGAAGATTGGAAGTACATGTTGAAATAAGAAATATATAAGGCGTATAATTTTGCTTATACCGTTTTTCTCCGAAATTCGAGGCTTTATTGTAAAAAACTGGTTATACATTTATGATTCAAAGTATTGTCCATCGCTGGCCACTACTTTCTCCCATTTTTCGGGCAGCATACGAATCCCGCGTCGAAAAAACTAGTCATCTTTTGAGGCGATCCACGAATCGATCCAATTTTTTACTTCTTCATAAGACCGGAAGTGCTGGTCAGCCAGGTCGTGTGCCATTGATCGAAACAAGTGATAGTCAGAGGGAGCAACGTCTGGAGAATACGGCGGGTGGGGTAGGACTTCCCATTTCAACATTTCCAAGTATGTCTTGACCACTTTCGCAACATGGGGTCGAGCATGCAAAATCATTTTATCGTGTCTCTCGTTGTATTGCGGCCGTTTGTCTTTCAATGCTCGGCTCAAACGCATCAATTGCGTTCGATATTGATCGCCTGTGATTGTTTCAGTCGCGGTTTTAACAACTCATACCATACTACACCGAGTGGGTCCCACCAAATACAGAGCATGATCTTGGAGCCGTGAATATTCGGTTTGACCGTCGACATGAAAGCATGACTGGGAACTCCCCATGATTTTCTGCGCTTGGGATTATCGTAATGAATCCATTTTTCGTCCCCAGTCACAATGCGATGCAGAAAGCCCTTCCGTCTTTGCCTTTCAAGCAGCTGTTCACAAGCAAACAAACGCCGTTCAACATCTCTCGGCTTCAACTCGAACGGCACCCAATTTCCTTGCTTCTGAATCATTCCCATGATGCGGGGTGCGGGGAAGTACTTGTAGGCGCGGGGAATACCTAACGCGGGGGAAAGAGGGGGAAAGGTCTAATCTCCTACACAATAAGGCTCCTACACAATAGGACTCCTTTTTTTGTTATCAAAATTAGACCATGTTTTTCTTTAAAAATGCATTGATAATAAAGTTGTTATCAAAATTTGACTATGTTTTTCTTTAAAAATGCATCGATAATAAAGGCTTGCGTGTTAGAGAAAGATAGAGCGCGCGTGCTATGAGTGAAGAAAGGATGGAAGAATTAACAGAGTACGAGTTTCTTTTGTATGATACAGTTTTTTCAATTTTTATGGTTTTTCCTGGCGCGTCGTGGCAAAGGATGGGAAGTAAAAGACAATACACATGAAATAAGGCGAACAAAAATGTTTTATTTACATCTTATTACATCGGTTTTCGTACTTATTAAAAACTAAAGCTAATAGTTCGCAATCGATGAGCTGATGTCCATTGAAGATGTCGCTATCACATATAATGTGCTCAGATGCGATGTTGGAGAATCGCTTATAATAAAGGCTTGCATATTAGAGAAAGATAGAGCGCGCGTGCTATCAGTGAAGAAAGGATGGAAGAATTAATAGAGTACGAGTTTCTTTTGTATGATACAGTTTTTTCAACTTTTATGGTTTTTCCTGGCACGTCGAGGCAAAGGATGGGAAGTAAAAGACAATACACATGAAATAAGGCTAACAAAAAATGTTTTATTTACATCTTATTACATCGGTTTTCGTACTTATTAAAAACGAAATCTAATAGTTCGCAATCGATGAGCTGATGTCCATTGAAGATGTCGCTATCACATATAATGTTCTCAGATGCGATGTTGGAGAATCGCGTATACTTGGTATCTACCGTATCGACGAGTCGAGCTAATCGTTCGAACGTTACATCCGTTAAAGTTAAACATACGGCGTAGCGTCGTTTCGGTCATCATAATGCGTACGGATGAAGAATCGAGACGTACGACCGTAGCATAGTTCAGCATGAAAACACTGATGATTAGCGGTCCAA